CCCCCCCCCCTCTCCCCCCCCCCCCCCCCCTAGTTGATTCCGACCCCGGTCTATTCTTCACCATGGTTCAGTTTTGGAGCGCCTTCACGGCGGATCAACGTCGCAACATCGCCATCTACACTCTAGGCATCATGATGTACAAGTTCGCCTTGGAGTACTTCAACGGCTCGTTTATTACGCAGGCAAACGAGCGATTTGGAGCTCGACGCTTCGAGAAGATCGCCGTCCTCACCGGAACCAACTATGCCGCTCAATGCATTGGCTCGATCATCGTCGCTCCGCTGATCAAGCGTTTCCCGACACGCTCGGTCCTCGCCACTGCGGTCCTTACCTTCGGGCTCATCTCTTGCATTCCTCTTATTGCCGACGCTGCTACTGGTGGTGTGCTCAAGTACAAGACGGCCAACAACAAGACCAAGTACGGTACTTGGAGCCCCAACGGTCTTTTTCCCATCTATGTCATCTCTGGTATCTCGTACGGTACTGTCGAGCTCATCCGCCGAGTCATCCCCCGTGACATTGTTGGCGGTGATGTTGAGAGGCTTAGGAAGATGGACGCGTTCGTCCACGTCATGTACGAGGTCGCCGGTACGACGGGTGCCTTCACCTCGACTTCGCTCATTGGCTACTTCGGCTACAACTACTCGGCCTTCCTCTCGCCCGTCCTCTTCACCCTTGCTGCCTGCACCTGGATCTGGATCTCTTCGCTCGGAGAGAGTCAGCGCAGCGAGGACGAGTCGAAGCTCGCTCGTATCGAGGTGGAGCAGCGCGGTCTGTTCATGTCCATGGTCGACGGTGTGCGTGCTTTCGGCAAGGCTTTCTGGTACGGTGGCTACCTCATCTTCACCGACCGTCGCTTCATCTGGCTCGTGCCCGGCTACGCCTTTGCGCTCTACGGACACCGATACCTCGAGAACGGTCTTGCTCCCATCTACGCCAAGTCGATCATCGGTGTCTCGTCCTACTCGCAGATCATCGTGGGCGGATCCAACTTTGGTGAACTGCTTGGTGCTCTTTCGGTCATGCTCTTTACCCAGGCCATCCCCACTCCGATGCCCTGGCTGCGTCTCGACGCCCTCCTCCTCAACCTCGTCTGGGTCATGCCTTTCTTCCCCTACACGCGCGGTGCGGTCTCGTCGGCCTGGAAGCTCGCCGCTGTCTTCACGCCCATCTCGTACGGTTGGGCTGCTGGTGATGTTTCGCTCGCTGCTTACATCCAGTCGACGCTCGCCAAGATGGAGGCCAAGGACAAGGACGTGTCTGCTCTGGGTGCGGTGATGGCCTTCCTGTACGTGACGTACATCGTGATGTACTCGCTCATCTCGACCTTCCTGGGTCGATGGGTGGACAAGCAGCTGCGCGGCAAGTCGGGTGTCGCTGCGATCAACCAGGCTCGCGACTGCCTCAAGTACGTGGGTGGTGTGCACTTCACCATCCTCTCGGTCATCATTATCGCCGCCACCTTTATTCCGCGCGGCTCGTTCTCGTTCAACCCCAAGGCGATCGACGAGAGCCTGCTCAAGTCGGACGAGGAGTCCGACGTGCACTCGGACGACGACATCAAGGAGATCAAGTACCAGCAGCGCGACTCGTTCGCTCCCCAGGACATCACCGGCGACGCTGTCGGTGCCCTGGCCCAGAACACCGCTGCTCGCGTCCCATCTCGCGTCTAAGCTTGCGCCTTCCAGCTTCTTCTTCCCCTTGGTAAAAATTGCGGCAGCGTGCACATTGTTCCGCCATCTTGTCACCGTCCCGGTCTTGGCTTGCTCCATTCTTTGCTCATATATATCCTGGCGACCCAGCTTCCATGCTTCTGTTTCATGTATCAATGACTTTCAATGCATTTGACTCTGGGCCCTCTGCCTTACATTGTGCGTGCGGATTTCGATTAGCGACGTGCCGACGCTCAGCTGTGTTCAGCCCTGTTCGTTGTGTACGATGGCTTTGACCCCTTTGTTGGTTGAAGGTGCTTCGTGGTGGTCATGCACAAGCTGGCAGGTGGCGCGGCTGTCTGTCTTGCTCGGCTCTGCTTCGGTTCTGCCCAGACGGATTACGTTTAAAGTGTTAGAACGGTGGCTTCCGGCGCGATCCGAATCACGTAAGCAGCTCTAACGCGTCCGCTCCGCCCAGCCCGCCACCAAACCTCCACAAGTGGGGACTTGACCCTTGCTCTCGCCTTCACCCCGTCCATCATCCGACTGATCCCACTACTCGAACATGACATTACTCAAGGCCACAACAAGCATGCTTCCACGCACAGCTATGGCTACTCACACGGTGGCTCGCAGGACGCTTGTCACCAGCGCAGTGCGAGCTTCGGGAGGATTCAACCGTCCCGGCCCACCGCCTCTTCCAGCGCAGGAGCAAAAGGAGTTTGAGAACCTCGTCAAGCAGAAGCAGAGTAAGTTTGCAGTACTCATTCAATCCCAGCCAAGCTTTGCAAGCTAACCGTACACCTATTGTTATGCGTACAATTGCAGATGCATCGCCGTTCCTGGCATCGGATCCTGAGAAGGGCGATATGCACCCGGACGCGCGCCGGAAACCACGCCCCGAGTTCGAGGGCGAAACCAACCCCAGCACGGGCGAAATTGGCGGCCCCAAGAACGACCCACTCAAGTACGACAAGGAATGGACCTACGGCGGCCGTGCCACCGACTTCTGAATGTTTATACAACCCAGTACCTTTGGCAAACACACGCTTGGTCACAAATGATGAGGGATAGACGCTTGATGATTACACGGAAGCGATAGCATGGTGGGACGATGTGTAAAAGTACAAAGATGTGTGGGGTCGATCAGGGATAAATCAAGATGCTTTTGGGTTGGTGTTGAGGCGGCCCCGGCACGCGGATGTTTGCTAAGATGCATCGCCGGACGAGGGCTGAGCCGCATCGGTGGAGGCTACAGCGCCGAGTGACGAGGCCATTTCGAGGAAGGCGGCTACATCGAAGGCGTCCTGAGATGCTCCATCCGTATTTTCTGCTGGCTGGTCCGAGTGTGCGGTGGAAATGGCCAGCAGCGAGCCGTGTTGGGCGCTGCCTTCGTCGTGCGCAGCAGGCTGGAAGCTGGGGATGTCGAGTGTCTGGCTGAAGCCGGCGAGCTCGGTGGTGGAGATGCCGAGGACTTTGGCGAGCTCCTCGTCGCTGAATCCGATGGCGCGGTCCTGTGCAGCGGGCGTGTCGTTGGAAACGGAGGGAGTGGCGGTGGCCGACATGGATGTGGCCTCGGAAGGGCTTGCGGTAAGGATGGCCGGGTCCAGAGCACGCAGCTGCTCGAGCGTGTCCCAGTGGGTCTGACCTGCTGTGGCACTGTCTTGAGCAGCATGTGTACGAGCCTCGCCATCGCCGTCTTCATCTTCGTCTGCGCTGGATTCGGCCTGTTCGAGTCGCCGACGCTCTTCCTCTTCTGCTGCGATCTCGCGCTCGAGCTGCATGAAGGTTTGGGCGAGCCGGCGCTCTTCCCTCTCCGAGTCGCGCAGGCCCTTTTGCTTTGCCTTGCGATGCTTCTTGGCCTGGCGGCTCGCCTCGCGTGCTTGGCGCGTGGCTTCGCGCTCACGCTGTAGCGTGGCGGTGTGCTTGGCGATGCGGTCGCGGAGGATGATGATGCGCTCGTCCACCGTCTTTTGCGCGTTCTCGAAAAAGCTCGCGTCGACGCGCATCTGGAGCATCTCGGCCTGGATCGCTTCGCGCCCCTTGGTGACGTCGGCCATCTTTTTCTTGATCTCGTCGCGTAGACCGTCGCTCGGCGCGGAGATGCTAGCGCGTGGAGCAGCGGCGCCGGACGGCAATGCCGTCGAGGAAGACGCAGAGGCAGTTTGCGGACTCGCGTGTGCTTCGGTGGACGTACCACTGGCAGGAAGTGGGACGGTGGGAGCAGGGTGGCTCGCCTCAATGCTCGGCTCATCTCGGCCGGAGCTATCGGTGATGGCCTGCTTCTGCAGTGCGACAAAGAGATCGGCAAAGAGGCGAAGGTTGTTTTTGATAAAGTCCTGCGCGTTGTCCGAGGAGGAGCCTTGCGGGATGAGTCGGCCGAGGTCGGGGACGGAGAGGAGAGAGCCGGTGTTGGAGGCAGCGGACCGAGCGGAAGCGGTAGCAGCGGCAGCGGTAGCCTTATTTTGTAGAGAGGCTGAGTCGGCATCCGCACTTCGTTTGCGCTTGGGTTTCGGGGGCGCAGGATTGTTGGGATCAGGCAGCGGATGTTTGCGTGGCCTTCCTCGTTTTCGAGCAAAGGTCTGCGGAGCGGCAGCCGGTGTCGAGGCAGGGGTGGATGCTGTCGAAGACGGTGCAGTCGCAGTAGGCTGGGCTGCGACGGGAGCGGGAGCAGCGCTGTTGGTTTGATCGGGTGCTGGGGCCGACGGAATCGCTGCCACTGCGGTCGCTGTCGGAGGTTCCGAGCGGGCAGCCGAAGCCTGACTGGGAGCCCCAGCCGTCGGAATCGTAGCAGGGGGAAGACCAGCTGGCGGAGCTATGGTTTGGGCGGGCGAGTCGATGTAGTGGATCTTGCGCACCTCGTCCTCGGCGCGGTGGGGTGGATCGCTGCGCGTCTTGGCGATGGGCCAAGACTCGCTCGGACAGGAGGTTGCGGCGGGCGTCATGGCGGCGGGTGTCGGATGGGCCGAGTCATCGTCGGATTCGCCGGCCATCGACTGCGATCGGAGCAGTTCCGGCGTGAGAGACGATGGGTCGCTGCACGCGCCCGGACTCGCGATCAAGACCGTGCCGACTGAAGCGTCCATCCGCCCGTTCGGAGCCGTGTGCTCTGCCGTCTCCTTTCGGCTTCTCAGCGTCTTCCTAGATCCTGGTCCCCAGATCCGTGACGCTTGCTGGTCGTCGTATCAGAGGCTCATGGGGTCGAGGTCGAAGCGGCCAAGGTTGGGGTTGTAGTGGTGGTCGAGTCGCCTGGATGGAGAGGTTTCCACTGCGCCTCGTTGGAAAAATCTCAAAAGGGTCCTCAGCCCGCCACTTTTTTCCACTCGAGCATCACGTGAGCCTGGCCGCTGCCTCCACACGGCGAGCTAACAAGGCGGCACTCAAAAAGACCACTCTCTGGCGTGGCTGAGCTGCGAATCTCCGCGCCGAACACTGCGCTCATCCTGCGGCCCAAAGCTGCGGGCTCACGACATTTGGGCGACGCGGAACGCGTCTCGAGTGATGCGCTCTCGGTGCGAGAACCCGCAATTAACACTTTTACCGCAACGCCGAACATCACAGGGAAGCAGTGTGACTTTAAGGCTGCGAAGCGGAGCAGCCACAGCTTACCCATGCAAGGCTCGCAGCTTCATTCTCGTCTTCCATACAGCCTCGCTACCGCCTACATCAGCATTCGCAGCCACGCCGTCGCTGCTTTCCTTCTCTTGAGGCACAGCGCTGTCCAGGTTTCGGTCCGCGCCTTTTCCGGGGGCGGGACGCGTCGGATGAGTCCGTGCTCGTCCTGATCCGCACCCAAGTCGGTCGACGCTCCCGCTCTTGACCCAACGCCATCACTCAACCCCAACTCCCCCGCACCCTCTTCTTCGGCTGAACACAACAGGAAGGAGCAGCCAAGCTCTCTGGTCAGCCTCGTTTTCGCGGTGCCTTCAACCTCACAGCAGCGCAGTCGGGCTTGGAACAGCGCCTCGCGGGTCTCTGGCATCGGCCTCGACTCAGCCGCTGAGCACATCCCGCTCATCGATCGCGGCTGGTTCCTCTTCCCGTTTTGTCGTCGTCATCAAGCCCTCAACCAGCATCCGCTACAGCCCTGGACGTGTCCGGTCCATTCGGACGCACGCCGACTCCTCAAGAAAGAAGAGGCACGCCACCCGCGGATCCGGCACAAGTCGAGGTGAGTAGGAGTGACAGAACGAAAAGTTTTTTCCCTTTCCGCGCTCAATATTGACCGACTTGCACCTTTCGTACAGCAGCATGCCAGCGTCTACATCAATCCAGGATCTTCCATACCGACGTCAGACTGCCGCAGATGGCACGTCCGAAACCATCTTCATCGATGACGAGGACGATGATTCCGCGTTCGCTGATCGCCCCAATCGCCGAGATGCTACGGCCGCATCGGGGCGTCCCTCACCCAAAAGGCACCTCGCCGACGCCACCTCATCCGACGCTGCGCACAAGAGGATGCGGCCCAGCGGTGCCGATCAGTCCAGCACCAGCTCGATCAACAGTCCGAGTTCCGCACCGCGCGATCCTCAGCCTGGCTCCAGCGGTTCTTTGTCCCGCACCTCGAGTCTCATGCGCCCTAGTGCCCCCGACAACGAGCTAGACTACATGACCATGGTCGAGCTCGAGGCATACTTCGACTTCAACAGGAACTCCTTTCTCGATCGCCTTGCCCGCCTTGCTCAGCGACGTCACGGCTTCAAGGACGACGATGCTTGGCGTCAATTCAACGCCGAATTCGACATAATGCTTCGCTATCGTGGTACCGCCGAACGCGCGCGCCTCTTGGGCAAGGCCCGCAGCGACAGCACTAAGAGTCACCCTGTGCAGCCCGACCAGCCAGCCCCAAGACCTCCTCCGCCACGCCAGCCCGAGTCGGCCACTCGCATCGCTTCGGACTCCTTTCAGGTCCTTGGAGAACGACGAGCCTCGACTCCCGCGCCGACGAACCCCGCCAACCACCTGACTCCCTCGTCAGTCTTCCGAAGCGACGCAGGCCCTTCGTCGTCATCGGAGCGGAGCAAGTTGCGACCACAAGCGGCCATCGCATCGGTCTCCTCAACGGAGCTTGTTCAGCCTCAGGACGCGCCATTCCTGGACACGACGGGAGACGACCTCCCTTCGAGCGAAGACGACGGATGGTCGTCCGACTTCGCCCGGCAGCTGTCTCAACAGCCTCCCGCCGCAGCCGTCCGTGCCTCGTCCCCACGGCCACAATCACCTCCGCCACCAACCTCACGACTTCTTCAAGGGCTCAATCAGCTCTCGGCTGGTCGTAGCGACGATCGCCTTCCGGATGCATTCGGTGGCTACCAGGAGGAAGAAAACGACGACGATAGCGACGTGTTTGACCACGCAGGCGACGAGGACGAGGAGGAGGACGACGACGACCTGCCCGAGGAGGTCAAGTTCGCGCAGCGCGGTCCGTCGATGCAGAACACGCTCTCCTTGGATGTCGTCAGCACCATGCCAGACCACAAGTGGACGCGAGACGTCGTGTATACGATGCGCCACTTCTTCAAGCTCAAGCGCTTCCGCGCCAACCAGCTCGAGGCGATCAACGGTACGCTCATGGGCCGCGACGTCTTCGTGCTTATGCCTACTGGTGGTGGCAAGTCCTTGTGCTACCAGCTCCCGGCGTGTGTCGATTCAGGCTCGACGAAAGGGATCACCATCGTCGTTTCGCCCCTCCTCTCCCTCATCCAGGATCAGGTCCGCCATCTCCTCTCTCTCGGGATCATCGCCGCCAAGCTCACAGGTGACATGAAGCATGCCGACAAGCAGACCGTTTGCGCCGAGGCCCTTTCCAGCCAGAGCGCGGTCCGACTCATCTACGTCACGCCGGAGTTCATCCGACAGTCCAATCAGGCCAAGACGCTGCTCAACGATCTTCATCGGCGCAAGCGCATCGCTCGCTTCGTCGTCGACGAGGCACATTGCGTGAGCCAGTGGGGCCACGACTTCCGTCCGCACTACACCGAGCTTGGAGCTCTGCGCGACGACTACCCTAACGTGCCCATCATGGCCCTTACCGCCACCGCCAACGAGCGCGTCATCAAGGACGTCAAGGAGCACCTCCACATGAAGGACGTCATCCAGCTCTCGCAGAGCTTCAACCGGCCGAATCTCGAGTACCAGGTGCGGCCGAAGCCTGGCAACAAGGTGCTCGAGGAGATCTCGAGCCTCATCCTGACGTCGCACAAGGACCAGTGCGGCATCATCTACTGCTTCAGCCGCGAGTCCTGCGAGACGGTGGCTCACGATCTCAGCACCAAGTACGGCATCTCGGCGCACCACTACCACGCAAAGCTCAGCGCCGACGACCGCGCCATGGTGCAGCAAAAGTGGCAGCAAAACAAGTTCAGGGTCATCGTCGCCACCATCGCGTTCGGTATGGGCATCGACAAACCCGATGTCCGCTTCGTCATCCATCACTCGGCGCCCAAGTCGCTCGAGGGCTACTATCAGGAGACGGGCCGAGCTGGTCGCGATGGCAAGAGCTCTGTGTGCATCCTTTACTACAACTATGCCGACATCAACAAGATGAAGAGCATGATCGAGAAGGAGGAGGACAAGAGCCCCGAGGCCAAGGAGCGCGCCATCCAGTCGCTCGACGACATCGCACGGTTTTGCAACAACAAGATCGAGTGTCGTCGCGTCCAGGTCTTGCGCTACTTCGGCGAGACCTTCTCTGCGGCCATGTGTCACAATACATGCGACAACTGCTGCCGCAAGGGCGACACGATCCGGACGGAGGACGTCACCGAGATGGCGAAGAAGGCGGTGCGGCTCGTGCAGAAGCTCACCGACAATCGATCGCAACTCACACTGTCGTACTGCGTCGACGTCTTCCGCGGCAGTCGCAGAAAGGAGATCACCCGGGCCGGTCATCACCAGATCGAGATGCACGGAGCCGGCTCGCAGCTCAAGGTGGACGAAGCCAAGCGACTGTTCGAGCTGCTGTGCGCCGAGAAGGTCTTCCGTCAGCGCATGCTGAAGAACAAGATGGGCTTCAACAATGCATATCTGCACGTAGGTCCGCAGGCCAAGACGGTTCTCGAGGGTCGCAAGAAGATCACCATGCAGTTCGAGCAGGACGGGCCGTCCGCATCAGCGAAGACGAGCACGAGCCGCCCAAACGCGCAGCAGCAACAGCGCAGGGTACGCGACTCCGACTTTGCCGAATTCGACGACGACGCTCACGACATTTCGCACGTCAGCCTCAGCCCGCGCGGGCCACAGGGCGACCGTCGCGCGAATGCGGGCCCTTCTGCCGGCGACGAAGACTTTGAGATCCCCGAGGAGGTGCTGCACGAAGACTTTGACCCGGACCGAGATTCGGACGACGACGAACCGTTAGCGGCGACAGGCGGCAATACGACGCACGGATTCGACAACGACAGCGATGACGACGACTTTGTCATTGACCATCAGCGCAGCAGCAACATGCAGGACCAGTGCTTCCGCGAGCTCAAGAAGCTCAACGCCAAGCTCGCGGAGAAGGAAGGCGTGCAGTTATCGCAGTTCGTGCCGGACGAGCTGCTCTACGAGCTCAGCGCTTTCCTGCCGACCAACACAGACCTGGCGCTGGCGAAGCTCGAGAATCCGAACCGGTGGTTCCGCAAGTACGCCGGTCGCTTCGTGCGGATTTGCAGGCGGCACGTCGAGGCGACTCGATCACAACACAAGGGCAGCGAGCGCGAGCACCAGCGCATGTGGGACCAGGCGTCGAGCAACGTCCGACCGCGCCCAGCGGCCAGCTCAAGCAGCTCCACGCCGGCAAGAGCAGTGGCAACGGCGGCATCCACGCCGCAGGGCCGCGCGGCTCCGCGCAAGAGCGCATTACTGGCCGCGGCGAACCTGGAGCAGTACACTTATGACGAGGCGGCGCCTGCGGGAGCGGCGGCGCGCACGGGAAGGGCGTCGCTCGGAAGCTCACGGCCCGCCGCGCCAGCGGCCGCATCCAAGACGGCGCGCAGCTCACTCGGAGGGTCAAAGGACTCGGCGGCGGGCGGATCGGCGAAGCGGCTGACGCTCGCGCGGCCTTTCATGCCCACGAGCGGCGCGCGGGGCGCTGTCAACATTGCGCCGATGCCACTCAAGATCTCGCGCAATCACAATCGGCCACGGCCGAGCTAGGCTTGTGAGGAATCCGAAGTCGAAGCATAGCAGAACGAGAGCAAACGTGTGATGCGGACTGAGACTGAATTGCGATCTTGAGGAGGTTACGGACGGCGATATGAAGAGGGTGTCGATGGTGCGAGGAGCGAGGGTGTGCGGAAAGAGTTGACGAGGGTGCGAGGGCGGTTAGTGGCCGACCTTTGCCCAGGCGTCGGCCATCCAGTTCTGGGGCCAGAAGATGCGGTTGAAGGGGGGAGTTTGGGGGCAGTCACCTTTGTGGACGCCGCATTCGCAGCCGTATTCGGTAGCAGGCAAAGTTCCGACAGCCTTGCAAGTTCTATATCGATCGAGCCGGATCGTCAGAATGATGATCGTGATTCGAGAGGTGGTTTGGGAGGACTTACCCGTAGAAGTTGTTTCTGTTATCGTTACCGGAACCGCAAGAATCGGGGCTATGGTCTTGAGGGACAGCACAGGTGATACGGCCACCGGCCCAAGCGGGTCCTACTCCATCCGCATACTGCTGACAGTTCTTGGACCAGTTGCATTCGTCTCCAACCCTCTGCGTCTTGGCCAAAACCATCATGCAAAGCGCAGCCAACGCCAAAATCGTGTAAAGCACCTTCATCGTTGTACGTGTGTGTCGTTGTAGATCGTGGTGTGATGGTAAGCTGCTTGCGCACTCAAAGAGTGACCGCTTGATATCCTAATCGCAACACAAACCCACCACAGACCAACGGTGGGTCAAATGAACTTTAATCCTTCACCGCCTTCAAAACCCCTGGACTTCATTCCAATCCCACGCCCCCACCCGCAACCGCTCATCCTAATCCACACATTCCCCATCAATCAACAGCGCGAAGATAAGCTTGCGAAACCATGTGGGATTGAAAAAAGAACACCAAACACCAACAAAACCAACAGCACGAACGAACATAATTGAGGGCATGGGGAAGGAAAAGGAAAGTGGGAGAGAGGAAGCGGGCATCAGGCTTGGTTGCGGATCGAAAGCGGTGTGGTCGCACATGCGCGCGAGCTGTGGGCGTCGACGGTCACGTCTTATGAAGCAATCTAGGCGACGGTCGCCCACCTCGGACGGGTGGTCCAAACCGCGCCCACACTTGCGTATGCGGGTTGTGGATCCAGAGGCAAGAGCCCCGGCGCGTCCTCCCATCCGCCTGCTTGAGCCTGCTTGAGCCTGCTGCCGCGCGACAGCATCTATGCATCACCTGATGGCTTGGGCAGATCCGCACTGTCATCGCATCAACGACAAGAGACAAACAAGATCAGTCAGTCGAAAGCGCTGCGACATCGCATCCGCACCGCGCATGCGCGCACTTACCCATCCAGGCTCTTGTGACCCGCGAGCTCGGCCAAGACGGTCGGGTCCATGGGTATCACGCTCTTGCGTCGGACGTGTGGCGACTCCTGCTTGCCGACCTGTTGGCGCGCCGTCTCTGGGAAGTCCTTCTATCGACGTTCGACCCAGGGCAGGGCCGAGAATGACGTGCATGTAGAAAATGAAAGCGGTGGGCGAGTTAAGCACTCCGCAAACCAAACTGACGCTGCATTGCCAGCTCTCGCAGGCTGACCGTTGCCAGGCGCACAGCGAGCCCAGGAGAGCTCTGCGTCTTGAAGTGCGTCTCGGCGAGGCTGCCAGGCTTCTGCGCGCTGCTGCAAGCAGGAATCAACGTACCATATCGTCGACGCTGTCTTCGCCCGCGACTTGGGGTTCTTGCGCCGTGCCCTCTTGCGCAAGGCGGTTGGGGTCGACATCGTCAAAGTCCGCAGTGGAGACCTCGCCATTGATGCCTTGGCCCATGGCCTCGAACAGGCTTTCGGCGCCAGCGGTAAGATCGGCCGCCGAGTCAAAGGCGTCGAGGTCGTAAGGGTTGACGCTGCCGGCGGGGGCTGCCTGCTCGTCTTTGAGCGTGGCGGGCGGCTCGACGCCGATGGCCTTGCTGTTCTTGATGGCGGTGTCGCGGAGGCGCTTCCATGCCTCTTCGCGTTCGTGGAGCTTTTGCTTCTCCATCTGGCGTTGCTGCTTGTACTCGTTGGTGCACATCTCGAAAAGCGCCGGGTTGATGTCCATGAAGAGCTTGAGGGCGTTGTATACGAGTCCATGGATGGTGCGGTTCCAATGCGCTTTGGAGTTCTGGTACAGCGCCGAGAAGACGATGGGAAGGATGACCTGGACGTTGTCGCCGATGAGGTTGACAATGTACTCGTTGTTCCAAAAGTAGAGCGCACGCTCTGCGACCTGGAAGTGCTGGCTGTTGATGCAGCGCTGGAGCTGCTGGAAGAGGGGCACTTCGATCTTGACAAACTCGGACGGCTCGATGACGTCGAGGATCTCTTCGACCTCGTTGAGGAACATGACTTCCTTGGGCGAGTTGACCTTGGGCCAGTAGCGGAGGAGGCCGAGGAGGACCTCCTCGGTGAGCGCGCTGTCCTTCTCGAGGAACTGGACGACGCAGTAGGCGAGCTGCGGATGGTAGAGGGCGAGGCTCTTGACCTTGTGGAGTGGGATGAGGACGCGGGTGAGGAAGGTCTTGTGCTCCTCCTTGAGCGGAAGCGCAAAGCCGTTGATGATGGATCCGAGGATCTCGAGGAGCTCTGCGATGCCGTTGTGACGCTCGGTCTCGTAGATGAACTGGAAGAAGACGTTGTTGATGGACCTGCGGATGAAGGCGCGGAGGTTGAGGAACTTGCCGTAGATGCGATGGAGGGTGGTTTTGAGGAAGTCGCGCTCTCGCGGGTCCTCGCTGTCGAAGAGCTCGAGGAGCTGTAGGACAAAGTGGTGGTCGATGAACTTTTTGGCGATGTTGGTGTTGAAGTCTGGGCTCTCGACGAAGCGGAGGAAGAACTCGTAGACGATCTGGAGATGGGGCCAGGCGAGCTCGAGCACGGGCTCGTCCTCTTCGGGGTCGAAGGCCTCGCCGACGGGGTTGACCTGTGGCGGGATGGAGCGGAAGAGGTTGGCGGAGAACATGGCGACGACCTCGGGGTAGATCTCGTCGGTGATGACCTTGCGGTTGGTGGTGATGTAGTCGAGCATCTCGTGCAGGGTGGCCGCCTTGATCTGCTTGCCTTCGAGCTCCTGGCTGGCATCGTTGAAGTCGAATACGACCGAGCACTGGCGCAACTTTCTTACAAAGAGGTCGGGGCGGTCGGACGGCATCACCTCTGTTTGGCAAAGGAAGGGAAGAGAGGGTGAGTTGCGGTGGTCAGTCGGTATGAAAAGGAGAGTCAAGTTGGGAGCGGCGAAACGTACCGTTGAAGTGCGGGAGCTTCTCGAGCTCTACCTTTTCTGTGACGTGGAAGCGGGAGCTCCTCTGCTTGCGCGGGGGCGTCTTTGCGGTGATTGGGATGGTGTCCTTGGGCCCAGGGTTGGAGGGGCCTTGGCGGAGACGGTTGAGGGTTCCTGCCTTGGGAGGGGTGGCGAGCTCGGAAGCGGCGATGCCTGTGCTGCTCAAGGAGGCCATTGCGGCGCCGGGGGGTGGAGGGGAACCGGGAGATCCTGTGTGGTGGAAAGGGGTGATGGAAGAAGAGGGCTGAGAGGTGGTGGCGACCGAGTGTGGGATGGGATCTGCGGGCATCTCTGGAGAGACGACGACGACGGGGGGAGCAGGTGGCGTCTTGTCAGCCAAGATGTGGTTCACGCCGGCGGGGTTCAATTTTCGATCGGGCGTACCTTGACCAGTGGGATAGTTGTTGTTGTTGTTGTTGGAGTAGATGGGATTGGCGGCGACGTTGTTGGCTCTGGAAGCGGCGAGGGAGCTGGAGGAGCTGGAGGCGGAGCTGGAGGAGGCATCCTTGCTGCTGGCGGCGGACTTGAGAGAGCCCTGATACGCTGGATTGGAAGGGACGGAACCGCCCTTGGGAGGTGGGGCTGGAACGCTACCTCCGCCTGCCGATGCACCTCGGTTGCCGTTCGAGTCGTTGGATTTGGAACGCGACAGGTTCTGTGCGGTGGGCAAAGGTGAGCATCGAAGAGGACGAGCAGGGAGATACGAATCAGTCAGCAGTTAGCGAGGAGGTGGTCGGGGCGGGCCAGTACGTACCATCGCTTTCTTAAGGCCCTTCATTGTGACGTATGGACCTGATCAGCAGGGACGATGTGGACTGCGTCAGGATGGTTGGTGAATGGTAGAGTGGTGTACGGCGAAAAGTCGGAAGGCGACCGCTGCGATGATGACTGGGCGTGGTCAAGAATGCTGCGATACGGAGTGGTTGAGGTTAGACAGACAAGCAGCGCTGCAGGAAGCACGGTGAGCAGCCGATGCGCTCCGAAGAGAAGTGCGTTGGTGAGCTGTGCAGAGGTGTTGGCAACCGGCTGGACGATGGCAGATGTGATGTGCCAAGATGGCGGAACGAGCCGAAGGTGAACAGCTCAAGCTGACGAAATGAGCGTCTGGCTGGAGTTTGTCGGAGAGCGAGCGGGACGACGCGCGAGAGCGCTGGAGTGCACCGCTGGAGGACGTAGCCGAAAGGTCCCGGAGATGGCTGCAAGCACGAAGCACGAGGGTCGGAAGAGGCGACGGGTGGTGTGTGGAGAGTGACGATGAGCAGTGGAGAGAAGGAGTGAGGAGGTGTTGGCGGCGGGCGACGGCGTGGGTGAGAGGGTGCAGTCCCGATAGCGCGATTGTGCGGTCGATGCGCTTCAATAATGACCGTCGGTCTGCCCGCGCCCGCCAGCCAGCCAGTCACTCACTCAGTCGAGTAAATTCAACACGGCCAGGGCCAGGGCGGGGGCGAAGCAAGGCGAGATGCGACGTGATGCGATGCGATCCGCCAGCCCAACTTCGCAGCCG